TTCAAGCAAAAACAGGGTGCCTGATCATATAGATATCCACATCCACAATAGTCCACAGACAGACCACAATAGTTGTTTGTAGAACGGAGCGGGATGGTCTTGTAGAACGGAACGGCATATCCGTACTACTACACTCTGTACAGAGTCTTTTTATTTTTATTTTATTCTTATTTAAATAAATATAAAAAAAATAATAAAAATTTAAATAAATAAAATTTATTTAATTTTTTTTTAGATCTTAATAAATTTGGATCTTACTACTGTGTACTCTTATAGACGAGTTTGGTTTGATGTAAAATAGTTTATAAGTCTTGATTCCCATGCTCCATTAAATTGTGTCAATCGTTGCTCTCCTCTAGCTTCTAATAAAATGAGATTTTAAAACATTCTCTGTAAAATATATTAAGCAGGACCTTTGATTTCTGCTTTTTTATATTGACACAAAATTTAAGCCAAGCTGCCATTTGCGATTCATATGTCACTCAAGTCAGGTTTATGACATTTAAATGCTTCAGTTTATCATATAATTCGAAATCTATTAATTACTTTTTAATCATCATAACTCATCTCTATTGATTGGTCTATATTTTCTTCAATTTGTTTTTGTCTCTATAGAATAAATTATATGATTAAAGGTACAATTTAGAAACTGTACTCATCGTTGAAAGAAATTTTTTGTGGAACTTTCTGATCATAGGTTTTCAAGTGACAAATATCTGTTAGTCAATTGCTGTTAATTGAAAAAAGATATGCGATAACAGTCCATACTTAATAATACTTTACATATTTGCTACAATATCTACGTATTTATTTACTATACGTCAGCAATGGTGGAGACCGACATCTGGCATCCGAGATATATTGATATCTCATTTGACTTGCATTCAATATGAAGGATTTAAATACATATACATTTAATACGATATACAAATACGAACATATAATGTATCTATAATCAGTGCGTGCAAATATCTGAGCAAACGTTCAAAACTATGGTATATGGCAATACAATATTTTATAATTAAAAATATCCATTGAGTGTCTTTCGTTGGAGCCATATTGAGAGGGAGCAGCCAATTGTGTGTAATTACACAGCTGCACGAAAAGCACAAAACCAGGGTATCATTAAGCAAATATAGTGTACGAGTAATACATAATTAATATACATATATATTTTTTTTAATTATTAAATTATTATCATTATTTTTGGCAAGGCAAAACTCAGGAGGCAAATTGCTAAAGCCCCACAAAGCCAATAGGCATTAGAGTCGAAACTATTAACAAAGGCACGAGCCAAATATGACGATTATGTGTTTCACAATGCAAGGACATCGGGTGGGCGGTCCATCTGTAATGCAAGCATACGAGTATATTTGCTAATATTAAATATTAACGGAGGCTCAAATGCATCTGCAATGAAAACAACAAAATCGAGTGGGCGGCTCAGAGGGCTGTGCAAGGCGTCCGTACAAGTACGTGGAACAAAGTGGTCGTGTACTTAAATAATGCTATTTTAATTTATTTCATAATATTTAATTGAATTTAACTTTTCAATAGAAGCGTAATTGTGAATTAATATTAAAAGGCAGTTGTGTACTGGAATGTTTATGTTTGCAAAGCGTATCTGATGTGTGCTGATACAATATTTGCCGAAAATTGATATTTTATTAATATAATATGTTCTTGCAAATTAAATTTTATACAAAGATTAAATAAATTACAAATTCCTAGCGAACAATGGAACAATAGAAACAGATAATAATAATTACGGTAAATTACCTATAATATTTGAAACTAGAAGAATGCACTTTGCAGGTAATGGAAGCTCAAAAAGATTTTCAATTAGAATGAACGTAGGTTTTCATGCTACCTTCTGCTCAAAAAGTATCCGGATTTTGTTGTTTGTTAAGTACTCCTTAAGTAATAGACCTTTTTCAAAAATTTTTTTTTGCTTTTTTTTATGATGGTACACCCTTTCTTGACATATGGTACAAATTTGAGCGCCATCTGTCAATTAGTTTGTTTACAGCAGCTGTTAATGTGAGACTACCTCAAGTGCATTTAGCGATTTTTACTATTGAAAATTCTTGTTATACGCGATTTTTTGACCAAACACGGCATCACTGTCATCGCTCAGGCACCATATTTGCCAGATCTGGATCCGTACGACTTTTTCCTGTTTCCGAAACTTAATTTGCTCCTTCGTGGTAAGCGTTTTGAGTCGATTGAATCGGTAAAAGAGAATTCGCTGAAGGAACTAAAAGCCATACCTTCACGGGCCTACGAAAAGTGGGTTAAGTGGGAAGATTGGGTTGAGCGTTGGCATATGTGTATCGCTTCAAAAGGAGCATATTTTTAAGGAGATAAAATAAATTTGGAATAAAATTTAAATTTGTGTGTTTTATTTACAAAATCCTAATACTTTTTGAGCAGAAGGAATGTATACAGAAAATAGTACATAGAATTTATTACATTCTATGTAGATGTAGTAAATATATGTTTAGGTAATTTTTTGCCAAAAATCCATCCGGTTTGTATATAAATGAACCATATATAATTATTTGTACAGTTAATGCAAATAGGAAGGTAATGAACTGCAATATCTGTCGTTTAGCAAGTTTTTAGGCACATGTACTTATGTTTTATGAAAACAATTATATTTCGTATGGAAAATAGGTGACTTGCAATCATTTCTAAAGCCTAAAACTGCCCATATAACGGTTTCGGATACTGGCAAATATCTATAATTTGGTTTAAATCTTCATAAATAATTATCGAACCGTAAATGTCAGAACAGTAGAGCAATTTTGTTCAATTAAATAGACTGCTTATAATAACGTTGTTCCAGAATGGATGGAGAGGATATAGCTACATTCTAGGTTACACATTCAGCGATTTTGAATGTACTAGTTCTATGGAATTTTATAAGCACGTCCTTTAAAAACCGCCTCTGTATTTATATAAAAATATATATTCAAAAGCTATTAAGCTTCGCCGCTAAGTAGAAGATATTAAAATAACATACAAATCCATGTGTGTATGCAGTTCGACAGCACAAACTGAAAACTTCCTGAGCCTTCAGAAAAAGTTCAAGAAGCAGGATTTTCTTTCTTCCAAATGTAAGTTACAGGAGCAGAACAGCAAAACAGCAGAAAAGCGAAAAAGCAAAAAGCACAGCAGCAAAGGCAGAGAAATATTTTTAAGCATATCCTGCAGGCGGAAACACCAAATAAAAAACAAATAAAAATTTACATATTTTCTTGCAGCGCTCAATAACAGAATTTTTTTAATAACGAAATTCAAAGAAAAGTAATTTAAATTTTTCAAATACAATATAAAAAAATAAATATAATAAATGATTATATATAAAAATGTATTCTTAATAAAATATGCAACAAAAATTCACTGCTGGCGTACGCAGACTCTGGCAGTGGTACTGGCACTGGCACTGGCACTACCATCAGCATCGTCATACTATATGTAGGCAAAGGTCCTTGCATTGAACGTTTTGCGAAATTTACGATTACCAAATGAAATGTTGTTAATATGTGCAACCGTCAATGTTCGCAGCCAGCGAACCAATAAAGACAATTCACTTAATAGGGAAAAAACGTTGAGGATGAGGATGGGGTCTGGATGTGGACCTGGATCTGGAATTGAGCCTGGTGCGTTCTGGTGTGTGTTGGAAGCGGTAAACAGTAATTTAAACTTTTCTTTCAATATTGTAAACTTTAGTTTTAAATGGAAAATGTGTCAAGCAACATTTTTACTAACAACAGTTGCTGGTGCCGTGTTGCTGTTGTTATTTTTTTTAAATCGAAAGGAAATTTCATTGTTCAGTTAATCGGTTCTGAGGCGGAAATCGGTCCGGAAGTTTTCAATATATTGGCTTAAGCTTTACATTACTAACGCCACCATCGAGTGTGAAGCGTAGGCTGATAAGTTGCTGCTATTGTTGTGCCTGACAACATTATTGAGGATAGCACTGTTATTATATAAAGAAAACACACAGAAACCAATTCGAAACAATTCGAAAGTAAGTCACATTGCAACATTGTGGGACAATATAAAAAAAAAAATATTAAAGATCCATTCGAGAAGGAAATATTGTGGTTGCAATATACTTTGTGGGAACAACGTCGACAACATTAACAGACGCCACAGCGACAGCAACAGCAACAGGAACAAGAACAGCAATCAATAATTGTTGTTAACGATATTGTTAAAAAGAATGCAAGTACAGGAAAAGAAGAAGCGCTTCTTGCAGGACCAATCAACTTATTTCACATAATCTGAAATAATCAGTTTATTGCAATAATGCATTTCCTAGAAGTGTATTCAATGAGAGGCGTGTCTACTTGTTTTTACCAATTGTTTCTGTCACCAATGCAAAAATTCCATGTGTTAGTTGGCATTACATGGAAGAGTTCTGGATATCTCGAGAACTTAGATGTTTGGGAATATAGCATAACGGAAATAAATAGAAATCTTAGTTCATAGTTTGTTTAGCAATAGTAACGCATCACTATGAATTTTAGTTCCATATGGCATCAGTTTACTCTGCAGCAACCATTTAAAATTTATACGAAATTTGATTTTCACTCAATATGATATTTATGTTATATATTAATAGAGGTCAGTAAGCCATAGATCTGTATTAGCTGAAATTATAAGTCATTGTTGCTCGCAAATATCTATACACGTAGGCTAAATAGAATAGAGAATAATCGCTTTTGTTGCAGAAATAAATAAATAAAAAATGAAATAATCCAGTTCTCAATATTCAGTGAGTAAAAATGAATATTGATAAAATTTTTAACGCCTTCATCAAAAAATAATCGAGATTTTTTGATGAAGGCTTTATTCCTCAAAACAGAGATCAAATCGAGAGAAGATTATTTCTTTAATCCCGTTTATTGCAAAGTTTTTAATGTTTTATAAACGTTAATATTTAAATTAAAATTAAATTTGAAAGTAAATTATTTCATTAGTTAGCGATCATAAAAACGGTTTTAAAAAATTTCTATTGACAGGATACTAGTTAATTATAACTTTGCATTTTCAAAACTCAAAATATTTAGCAATTTTCGGCCGAAGAGGCACTTTCGGATATTACATAGAAGCAAGTTTGACAAGTCCGTTGGGATTTGTTGCTTCCTTTGGGGCTGCGGTAAAAGAAAATTTGACTACATATGCTACAGTTGCCTTCTTTAATCTCGCCACCAGAGTTGGAGTCGTGACTTAGTTGGCGCTCTCTGTCAAATCGCTTGCCATTTTCTCCATTGTGGTAATCGATATTGTGTTGCTGAAGCATCTCACCCGACCGGAATAAATACTGACATTCATTACAATAACGATTTTCTGAGCGCGCATCGCACACACTCACATGAGAACAATATTCCACTAACGTGCTCAACAGAAACCCACATCGATGGCACTTGTATTCACTTTTCATTGTTTTATTACATTTATTATAAACAGAAGTCGATGGCAATTCCATCTGAATAGTCGAATTGCTTTCGCTGTTGTCATCTAATTCATTTGCGATTGGAGTGGTGTAGAATTGTTGACTAGATTCCCTTACAGTTGAAGGCACCTGCTCATTTATATCTAAAGGGATATTTTCACTTTCTTCCAAATCTGATTCTAATAACGCATCATATTTCTTAGCATCAGAGGAAATATTACCTACACGTTTGAAGTTGTTTCTGTTGGTAGATATTGACTTGGAACCTGGAACTGAAGCGTTCTTTATATTAAATTTATTTTCTTGTTTAGTCTTGCGAGAGTTGTTATTCAGTCGTCTATTAGGTTTATGCATCATTGGTGACTTTTTCTTCACATGCAATGATTTCTCAAAACCAATATGTTCTTCAACATTATTCTTAACATAAGGGTAAAGCGCTTCATTGTCGTTCTTACTTAAATCAAAGTTTTGTTGCTCTGCTTGAGATGTGACATTATTTGAAATTGAACCATGGTTTTCCTTAATTTCTTCAATTACAATGTCCTGTGCAGCGATAAGTTTATCCAATTCTTCTAAATTTAACGCTTCGATGCCGATAGAATCAATATCACAACCGATCTCATTAGAATTCTCTTTGTCATCGCAGCTCATGAGAGTTCCATCATCATTAACTATAAAGGATGTTATATGAGATGGTGATACAATTTGTTCCATGCTTGCCTGAGGTATTTCATAGCAATAAAATAAGTTATCATTATCACTCTCCAAATCAAAAAGTTTTGATAAAGCGTGATTAGATTCCAAAACTGTTTGATTTCCTTCTCTTCCAGTTTTCACTTTTTTTGAAGTGGAAGGCAATTCCTCATCTATGTTATCAAACCTGGCTAAAAACTTATGCTTATTTGTTTGCCCGTTCATGTCAGGATTATCACTTTTTTTTTTATTTTTGTTATACATCATAAGCATGTTCTGCTGCGCTTGTAAAGCCTCTTCCATGTCTACAACCTCGTTATTTTCTTGAAGAACATAAGAAAAAAGTAATTCCCTTTCATAGTTGTTTAACTCATTATTTTGTTGAATTGTTTCTGCTTGATTGAAGTGACGCGTTACGTTATCCGAACATTCGTTATCTAGCTCTTTCAGTTGTTTTAGAGCAATTTGTTCAGCGTTGGCGGACTCAGCGAATGCAATATCATAATTTTCATCATCGTATATTGTACTACATACTGAAGTTTCTGCAACAGTCACTTCTTCAAAAGAGAGGTTGAAAGGTGTATGATCACTTATTGGATAGGATATACTGGAAACAGAAGAAACATCGTCTTCAATATCTGACAACTGCAACTTATTGATATTAGCACTATCCAAAGAGGAGTTGCTGTTGTCACTCTCTGTTTCTGATATTATGCACTCTCTTTCCATATTACCAAAGACTTCATTCTCATTAAATTCAGATTTGAATTCGTTTGATGAAGTAACGAATACTGGATCTTTACTTTGTGGTTCATCCTTTGGAATATGTTCCGTAATCATATCACAAACTAATAGAATGTTGTCTGAAGCAGTGATAGTGTTTTGCGTTTCATCTTCATCATTTTCGTTTTTAATAACATAATCTGAAGGGTCCATTTTTAATGTTTCTAAAAAATTATAATAAAAATAATATTTTTATTATGTTAAACAAATAAATATTTAATAAGAAATCAATACTTTAGAAAATTAAACTAAATATATTAACAAGTAATTATATTTCCGTTAATTATTAATATGAATAATAGGAAATGGTGGCTATAACTTAGGTTCTAATACTTTATTCTAATAATCCAATCTTTCTGGGTCTGATTGGGCCAATGGGCCTGATTGGGGCTGCTTCAATGACATATATCAAACTAAAGTGTCATCCGAGGCATCGTTATAGCGTTTTGTACAATTAATTGCTTAACAAGAAATCTTACTCTTGTGAGCCCCCACCTAACACATATCTACATACCTACTTGTTAATTTTTGGTGGTGGACGGCACCGACCATATTTGAGAATATTATTAATCAGAATATAATAATTATTATTTATTATTTAAAAAGATTTGTATTAATTTATTTTTTTAAGTTGTATTATATACTTGATTTATTATCAAACCCCTGAAAAAAATTATAATTTTATTTTGAACCTATGTTGGTAGGTAGTATTAAAACCACGACCCATATACTGCACAACAAACAGTTAACTACGTCAAACCCAAAGATATAACACATACCAAACATAATTGCAATATATATAAAGTTTTTTATGTTATATTAAAAACCCATTTATATACTCATTTTTGGCAGCCCCTGTGTGAGGTTATGGTGAATTCATAAATGTTCAACTTACAATGACTACGAAAATTGCTTAGTAGTAGAGAGGGGTTCTGTCAGATCTGATTTTATAGTATATATAGTTATCTTACCTATATGCAGTATGTTGGTAAGTTCTCTTCTATATAGACACTCATTAGCTTCTTCACAAATCAAAAATTAATTTAGAATTTCACTTGAAATGCTTCATTTGCTGCAAATCTGCACATAAAAAATACTCGCAAAGCTCAAATTTCAAAACTTTCCAGTAAAAATATTTTGCAAATGCAATTTTTGAAAGTACTTTTTGCAATAATAAAATAATTTTTAATTTATTATTGAGATATTTTTTAAATACAATTTTTTATTAAAAAAAATCGAGACTGCACAGATGCCTAATTTATCCAGTAAAAAAAGAACCGCTGCAAATGAAACACAAAAATAGACTGTCTTCGTATATATATATGTTCTGTATGAAAATATGCCGACGCAGTCCCGTCCGCCATATTGTATATAAATATTTTCTAACTAACCTGAATGACGCTACAATTTTGAAGTTTCGCTATATACTCGAATACATATTCATGATAAATTTATAACGTACCTATACATTAATTGTCCTTTCGTACTTGGGCCGCTTTTTTCTTCAATATTATCAGGGCTTTAACACTTCTTGAATATAATTAAACTCCGAATAAACGATTTAATTGGACTACAAGCGCACATGTGAAGCAAAGTGGAAAGGAGAATAATTGATAGCAATCAGTTTGAATATCACTGAGTTTAGTTTTTAAAAATAGTAGTAAATTGACAAATGCAGTAAAAAAGTATGCCCATTTCACTTATTTTATAATTGTATGCAAAACTTTCTTGTATAGATGAACCAATGCATAATAATAAAATTTGCAAAGATTTAAATCCAAATTTGATTTATATTTAATCATTTAAATAAGTCAAGTACAACAATAAAAACATAAAACATATTTTGTATAATGCAGACAGTCATTTCTAATAAGTTTCCTAGATGCTTGAGGGTGCGAATCCATTAAACGACGATTTTCATTTTCTTCAGTCATAATATTTTGTTGGCCAAATATTGCCTTATCTTTATGAAGTCATCCAATTCCAATCATAGATCGAAAGAGTTTTGGTAATTGGTATTTACACCAGCGTCAAACGACTGATTTGGATCAAAAATCAGAAGCAAATGACTGATTTTTGCATACAAAATCTCATATACGCAAATGAGATCCACACTCGCGCAATGGATCTTATTTTGCATAAATGGGTTCCAAATACAAGTAAACACATTGCACATACCTTAAATAAAAGTTTTTCACGGTATTTGACAGTTTGAGAAAGCTGTTTTTGACATATTTATAAAAAAGGTAAACAAAATTTGGTCTTCGCATTTCCTTAAAAATGATGCTTTTGGGAACTTCTACTTCTATTTTTATTTTTTATTTCGATACAAACTATCATTAGGGGTTACATAACAAATATTTTTGTCTTCTAAAATATAGAAAAAGTCACCTGATTTGTTACGGTACAACTAATTAAGCTGTAATGAATCAAATATTCTAATTTTGCTCTCATGCTGAATTTTTAAAAATACTTATACCACATTCACACTATCTCATTTAGGCTGTTTTGTTCATCATAGCTACTAATGGAAATAATTTACTATATGAAACATTTCATATAAATGAGTTCATTATCAATAAATCAGCTGATTTGAGGCGAAAAATGTTGAATGCAAGGAAATTACTTAAATTTGAAATATGTGTCATATGTTTTATATGGTTTACATATAAAATGTAAACAAACAACAGCTGAGCTATGAACAAAGGCACTGAGGAAGTAAGTACATGTTAAAATCTTTGTTTTTATTGATTGAATTTGTGATTGATATATAAAATGAATATGGTATATATGATTTAATATATCAATTATAATAAAGTGTTTTTTTTTTCAGGCTAAATGGTCAAAACTTTTTTTTATTGTTGTTATCATCATCAGGAAACTGACTTTATTAAAATTATTAAAACCATTTTATTAAATATTTTATTATTATTAAAAAACAATTTATTAAAAACACTTTATTAAAATTATTTGATCACAAAATAATTAACATTTATACATCAATTATATATTTAATTTTTTTATGTGATGTATTATTAAGTGAAGTGTATTTATTTCATATAAAAACTATATCGCTGATTAAATGAGCTTATTATAATAGGTGTATTTCTTTGACACGAATGCTCCAATAGAACACATGTCGCTTAAAAATAAACAAGCAAAACAAAAACAAAATTCGAAACAAATAAGCCCACTTTCCTGAAAGTACTTAACGCGAATAAGCTTCTCGCTCTACAATGGTACCAAATCTTAAAAGTCTCCTGTTGTGAATGATTTTTGGAAGAAAATGGACAACACCAGTCAGCTGTTTATTGCTTACAACTGTTGCGAGTGTTAATGAGTAAATTTAAATATTTTGAATAAGTAATTTTTTTAATGTTAGTGAATGTGAAGAAGTCATTCGTTAATTTTTTATTAAGAAATTCTTAATTTCTGTGTTAAATAAAAAAATGCTATATATGAATAAATACAAAACACAATCGTTAAAACAAAAGCAAAAACTAATGAGACAATTGCTAGAAAAATAAAACAGTGTTAAATACTGCTCAATTAGCGTTAAATAGAGATGTTAGACGTCTGGAATGTATATATATGGAATATATATATATTTATATAAAAAACTATTTTATAAAATTCAACCGCAAATTTGTTTGATTTTTCTTTACTTGTCATGTGTTTACTGGTTTAG